TGGTATATTTTTTTGTGATAAAACAAACAGAAACTCCTTTACATCTTTATAGCCCTGCACTAATAACCCCATCATTTTCCTCTCGCCTTCTAGGTCTACATGTTCAAGTATGACTCCACCCATGGCCGTCACAATGGTGAGGTCTCCCACGAGGATGGCAAGCTCATCGTCGATGGAAACGCCATCTCCGTCTTCCAGTCGTAAGTGATGAAGATGATGATGATTGGGTTTGAGTGGTTGTTGCTGCACAGATACCAGACCCACATCAGTACCATTTTAATTTTAGCAGAGAGGTCTGTGATGGAGGCAGCCATCTAAAAGTTCATGTTGAATAAGGAATTGATTTTCCAGTTTCAAGGTGATCTAGCTGATGCCATTTTGTCTTTTATATCCTGAGTGAATTCATGGCAATGGAACAAAGCTGTCTGCTGCCTCAGGCCTCTCTGTTTTTTTTAGTCCATTGGCTAATGGTGCCTCATGTCTGCAAACTGCAGTACCAACAAAAAGGAAGCTTACACTAGAGGCATTCCTTTCACAGCTTCACAGCTCCTCTTTTGTGAGATTTTCCAAACATTACAAACATGAATTTGTTCAAAGAGGCTCTGAACGCTAATTTAGAATGTACAGGATGTACTTATCTAACAAGATTAGCTCCCATCCCCCCCCCCTCTTACTGAATGTTACTGTGCACTATGCATTGGTGTTTATATGCCTCAGTGCCAGTGGCTGGAGGCATTATGTTTTCGGGTTTGTCCGTATGTACATTGGTTGGTCCATTCGTCTGTCAGTCCATCCCATTGAAAATGTATAGTGAACAGGATAACTCAACAACAGTTGAAGGGAATTTGATCAAATTTGTTAAAGACATTCACTTGGACTCACGGATGAACTGATTAGATTTCAGTGGTGGAAAGTCACGGGGACCTCATATGAGTCTGGTGTATGTAGACTAACACTTCACTGGCCAGCAGATATACATTGTACTTATATAATTTTAGGTTTTCAACTTATGTGGAATTTTGGTGTCATTTGATTTGTCACCCAGGTTTAGCATTACAATACAATAATCTTTTCATCTTAACTGACGCTACTCTTTCTGTGACTCCAGTATGAAGCCAGCAGAGATCCCCTGGGGCAGCGCCGGAGCCAAGTATGTCGTGGAGTCCACCGGAGTCTTCCTCAGTGTGGAGAAGGCCTCTGTATGTACATACACACATAAACACATGACAAGTGTACACAGACTACCCGACGGTCTCATTTCTAACCTCCCTCTCTCTCTCTCTCTCTCTCTCTCTCTCTCTGTTCTGGCCAACCGCAGTCTCACCTCCAGGGTGGAGCTCAGCGTGTTGTTGTGTCCGCCCCCTCACCTGATGCTCCAATGTTTGTCATGGGAGTTAATGAGGACAAATATGACCCCTCCTCCATGACCATCGTCAGGTAAGCTACCTGTGGTGGCAGACATGCATGTTCACTACATTTATAGTAGAAATACATACAACTATGTTCCATACCTTTACCAGAACTCAAGGTTTAGGTGGAGCACATCACTTTTTTTATGAATTTTATGTGTAAATATGACCAGTTCTATCATTCTGTTGATAGTAATGCCTCCTGCACCACCAACTGCCTGGCCCCCCTGGCCAAAGTCATCCATGATAGCTTTGGCATCGAGGAGGCTCTTATGGTAAGTCATTTTTATTCTGTGCTTGTGCTTCATACTGTAGGTGGTGCTGTATATTTATGCTTGTATGTATGCTAAAGACACTGATGAAAATGTTTGTTTTATGTCTCTAATATGACACTGTCCTCTGCAGACTACAGTCCATGCATACACAGCCACTCAGAAGACAGTGGATGGTCCTAGTGCTAAGGCATGGCGTGATGGCCGTGGTGCCCACCAGAACATCATTCCAGCCTCCACTGGTGCCGCCAAGGCAGTGGGCAAAGTCATCCCTGAACTCAACGGGTAAGGACAAGTACATGTTTTATCAGTCTAATAATCACCTTTGTTATTTGTGGCAAGGAAGCTGAGAAAGACCAACAACCTTCATCTCTCGTTTGTCTCTTTCTCGCTCTCTAGTAAGCTGACAGGCATGGCGTTCAGGGTGCCAGTGGCTGATGTGTCAGTGGTCGACCTGACATGCCGCCTGTCCAAGTCCGCATCTTACTCTGAGATTAAGGAAGCTGTCAAGAAGGCCGCACATGGGCCCATGAAGGGAGTGCTGGGTTACACCGAGGACCAGGTAAGACAGAATCAATTCACATACAATCGACTGAAATCATAATGAACTTCCTTTATTGTATTACAAAATTATAGATATATTATACAACATGACTTCTGTGTCCTTTGGATTTTGTAATGTATTGCCTGGCTACACAATATCTGACTAACTGACATTTGTGTTTTGCAAGGTGGTTTCCTCCGACTTCATTGGTGACACCCACTCCTCCATCTTTGATGCTGGCGCTGGCATTGCCCTCAACGACAACTTTGTCAAGCTCATTTCCTGGTGAGTTTTCATGGTCTGGCCCCACATGTGAAAAACCTTTGTCTTTTCAAAGCTGATCTTTTAATAACACTTCTCCCCTCCCTCCAGGTATGACAACGAGTTTGGCTACAGCCACCGTGTCGCTGACCTGCTGTTGTACATGCACTCCAAGGAGTAGCCACTTCCTTTTGAGAAAGGAAGTCAGGAAAGGGACCACCCCCAACCATCCATGCCCTCTCTTCTCTTTTACACACAAGCCCCACCCATAGCCAAGTCCTTGCATCACAGCCTTTAGCTCTACTACAGCATATGTAGGCAGCAGCAACAGCGTGTTTGAGTGTTTGGTTTGTTTTTCCTTTATTGACGAGACGATTGGTCAGTGACAGTATTTGTGTCTGTGTGCCCCCCTCTCCACCTCCCTCTGCCACATTAGATGTGTCGTAATGGCTCATTGCTATGGTAACTACTGTGTCCATCACCCTGTTGTTGTGTTTTAAAGGTTAAATCAGCAGTGGAAGGAGGAAGCTGAGAGGTAGAGCTACTGTAACTCCACTAAAGAGTAATGAGACAAAGAAATAAAACTTGAAAACCTCAAGCTGTCCAAGTTTCTGTGTTATTATCTGTTCACTGTTGTCTATGGAGTCCCTGAACTGACACACTTAGACATAACGCTGGGCAACAAAACAATATCAAGAGTTACTGCTATATGATTTTCATCAGTCGCAATATGAAGCTATTGATATAATGCTTATGCATTGTGTAAGCACAGAGGTGCTATAACAGATCATTGATCTGTCTCAGATATGCCAAATTGTGGTTTATTAAGTGTAATTTTTTTTCTCAGAGTTTAGAAACACAGCATCCACTCAGGAGCAAAAAACTGTCTTTGAACTGAAGATAAATAATATGTATTGTGATAGTTATCAATATCAACTAATATGAAAATGTTAACTTTTACATTTTTTGGCCATATTGCTCAGGCCTTATTCTACAAGTCTGACACATCTTTAAAAAATATTAATGGCTAATAAATTAAAGACACAAGAAATGTAAAGCTTTATGACTTAAACCTCCTGGGGACACTAACACTAGGTGATTAGTAGCAGATGCACTAAAGTTTTCTAGCATAAATATTAATTCCACACTGTCCAGATAGAGGTTAGAGGCATCATAGCAATTTATAGACCATAAAATGTGCATTAAAACTTCATAGATAAGACGTTGTTCAAGGACACAGGAAGTCAGGACAGAAATATTAATTTGAAGGAGACACCTCTATCATTCTTCTTTACAACCAAACCTTTGCGACACCATGTGTCCTGTTGCAGCTCCTGTACATGGCAGTGGTTTGCTGTTACTTAATACATTACAAGACTGTACTCCATGAACAAATCTGAACTTTCACTCAACTTCAGTAGTTCAAATGTCATGTTACTTTATTCACCACCATAACAGAGGGAATTATTGTATGTTTTACTCAACGGCATTTATTTGACAACTTAAGATAATAGTGACATATCTCGAGTTAACATAAAAACACGTGTAAAGCATATTTAATGTTAGGTTAAACTATCTAACACTATATGAATAAGATAAAACTAATCCTATTAAAATCCTATTGACCTGCCATAGTAATTACAAATAAAAGCATCAGTAGCCCAAAGAGATGATATGCACATATAATAAGAAGATAAAACGACAAGTACAGCAAGTCTCGGTCAGAATACAGACTGTGTCCTAATAAAGAAGAAATTTATTTTTTAAAAAGCCATCATATTTTTGCTGCAGTGCCACCTACTGTTTAATTGAACATACCGCAAAACAGTTGAATGTAACTGTATTACATCTGCCCCTCGGACTGCTTCTACCATGCCCTCTACCTCTAGTTCTGGGTACTGCTAACCTGCTGAGTGGTTCGTCCTGTGTGTGATGGCCTGCAGGTGCACCAGAGTCAGAGCAGAGCCTCACCAGCTGCTCCTCATCTGTCATCGAGCATCTACATAAGCTCCTCCTGACCACCTCCATGCTGCCAGATCGTAGTCTCTGCTGGCAGTTAGTGGTGCTAATCTTCTGGACCTGTCACCTTTACCTCTCGCTTCAGCCTAAAGCTCCTGGCTCCCCACTCCCAGCTCCAGTTCTCCCTAAACTGCAGCCTGGCAATAAATACCTCTCACTTACTCCTGTCTCCACGTCTGTGTTTGCACCTGTCTCCACCTGTCCAACAGTTCCACTTAACACCATGGATGATATTTTACTTTTTAATTTAAAGTATTTTCTTAAGAGACACCCAGAGTCACTGAGAGTCCCTTGAGCTGAGACACCAAGACGTTACTCTACTCATAATTATCAGTCCCCTGACTGTTCCTAATTTTTCCATCAAGATTTCATAAATTATTCTGAGAAATCCACAAAGATTTAGAAAAACGCTGTATCTCACAGTGTTAATGAAAATGAAAAAAATCCTGTATCCAACCCTTGATCCAGATCAAAATTGAATGGCTTCTTCCCTGACCCATTCCAAATTCTTCTACTAAGTTTTGTGGTAATCTGTCCAGTGGTTTTTGTGTAATCCTGCTAAAAAACAGACAACAAACAAACGCACAAAACATAACCTCCTTGGTGGAGGTAAAGACATAGAAACACTAATGCACGTAGATGTGTCTTTATCCTTAGTCTTTATCTCTCAGCTGACATCTTCATTTCCCACTGCTCTGACCTGCTCTTCCTTTTAATTAAAACATCAAAATGCATATTGTTTAAAAGCATTGAATAGAACTAACATAAGAGTGGTCAGGTACACAGAGGTCACCACAAGGGCTTGGTCATCAGCATCACTTGACTTAGAAGATTCAAATCCATTCATTTGCCTGAAGCCTGATTTCCTCATCCAAACACGAAGGCCAGACAGTTTTGAATCCAGAAACTTTGAATCAGTCGTACAGAGGCTCTCGCTGCACCACACATGACTAGATGTGATTCCACTTTGTTTTCTTCATCTTTTTTTTTTTTCTTCTCTTTTTTACTTTATCCTTAGTTTTAAGTACATGTAGTCACATGACAAGCTGAAGCTGTTAATTGTCTCAGATTTGAATCAGTTATTATTAGTCTTCTGTTTTTTGCATGAATGAGAGAAAATGGAGATTTCAGTTTACTGTGAAGGAGGAAAAAAATGATGGAAAGTGGTTGAATACAGAGATGAGGAAGTGCCTGAAGAGGAGAGGCAAGGAAGAAAAATGCAGAGGCGTGAACTCTGCGGTAATATTGTTTGTGTTCTCTCTTCATCCATAACCAAATGAAAAGAGAAAGAAAGATGTGTCACAGAATCGAGCAGGACTGAAATCTTAGAGATGAGGTGATACAACTGCTGATGATGATTGAGGCATGGCAGACTTTTTTCTTTTCCTACTAATACAAATGTGAGGATGTATCTTCTTTTTATCAAGCTGTAATTTTTTGTCAATTTGTTGAGCAACTGCACAGTATTATCAGAGCAGGGACTCCCAACCAAGGATCCTTGTAACCCAGGAAATCTCATATACCAGGTGGTGCTTGGATTGGCCCGGACTTAGAAACAGTGCTGTTATAATATAAATGAGGACGTGATATGTAGAAAGAGTTTAAAAAATGAATGATGTTTAAATGACAACAATAATAATTAAATAATAATTGTAATTTAAAAATGCTGGTATGTCTCCATCTGAACTGGGACAGCAGGCGTGTAGAGGTGCGACGGGTCAGCTGATTCTGGTGAGGAGTGTCCAGGTGGGAGTGACCAGGTATCTGCAGCTGTTAAAAGAGCAGAGTGACAGCTCCTCACCAGCTACCGAGCACACCACAAACTGACCTGTGCCAGGGGTCCTGCAGCATTGACTTGATTCGAGGACAGGACCGGTCATGGGGAACAAGAGCATCCCCGAGCTTACTCTCCCCTTCCTGCTCACGACTGCTCTTTGCTTGGAGGCAACTCACATAAAAAACACCTTTCACTTTCCGTCTGAGAAGATGACCTGGACAGAGGCGAGACAGTACTGCCAGAGGACACACATTGACCTAGTTACCTGGAACACAGTGGACAGAGTGAAGCTGAGTAAGTGGTTGGTAAAGATTGATGTGAAGGAAGCCTGGATCGGCCTACACCGAGATCCTGAGAAAGACCCAGTCTGGAAGTGGATAAATGTGAAGTGAGTATCCTATTTAAAGGTCCAGTGTGTAAGATTTAGGTGAAAGGGAACTATTGGCAGAAATTTAATGAAGAATAATTCTCATGATGTTTTCACTAGTTTATTTCATCTAAATTGTATGAATTGTAGTTTTCTTTACCCCAGAAAAGACCCTTTATATTTAAATACTTTATATTTACATCGAGGGGACCCTCTCTATGGAGGCCGCCATGTTTTTTACATTACTCCAGACTGGACAAACTAAACACCTTTTGACTTTTTAAAGGCTACCACAGGTTATTTTTCATGTTTGGGAGGAGAGGGTGAGGTGAGGGGTGTTCAGCTGCAACATGCAATTTCAACACTAGATGTCACTAAATTCTACACACTGTAACTTTTAAGATTATTTCATGGTCATTAGAAAATCTTGAATGTGCAGTTGCTATGTGAGATATCCTTAGTTTGTCTGTTTCAGAACTGGAGAAGGTGTTGCAGGACACGACCTCTCACAGAGCAGTGAGTGGGCTGATGGGTCGCAGAGCGGTCACTGTGCAGTCGTACGAGATGATCTCATGTGGTACAGTGTTAAGTGTTCAAGTAGATATAATGTTTACTGCTCAAGAGGAAGCAAAACACTTCATCACGAAGGTAACATCAGCTGGCACCATGCTTCTCAGCTCTGTCAGGCTTTCATGAGTAACCTCGCCACCATCACCAAAGCAAACAAAGATGATTTAGATAACAGTGGCTGGTTCGGACTGTACCGACAGGCCGGTCACAACTGGAGCTGGGTCGGAAATTCATCCTCTAATTATAGAAACTGGGCCCCAGGAGAGCCACTCACCACAGACTGTGGCTCTTATGATCCTAAGACTGAGAAGTGGTACAGCAAAGTGTGCTCCCAAGAGCTGGAGCCTGTCTGCTATGATGACAACCTGGTGGTGGTGAACAAGAACAAGACGTGGGAGCAGGCCCGGAGGCACTGCACGGCCATGAGAACACCATGTGCCGACTCCTCCGACTCCTGCGTGTACAGCTACAAGATGCTGAGCCTGCACAACCTGCAGGACTACGACTATGTCAGAGAGCGGATCTACAGAGCCTCGACTGATGAGGTTGGAAGATGGGTTTTTCCAAACAGTGCTGCGTTCTAACCCTTTAAAGTGTAATGTGTAGTTTACTCTGCATCTTTTGTCACATGTTGCTAATACATTATCTATGGATTGTGAGCAGTTCCAGCAAAGAGGGATGTTTTCTTCAAGCATACTTTATTTGAACAGTTTTCAGTCTTACAGAAATAAAACTACCTGCAATTTCTGAATTATAAAGAATAGAAGAAAAAAATAAACAGCACATTTTTACAATATCAAGTTGAAAGCATTTAGTAAAACATAAGCCAAACTATAATTGCAAATTCTTTGAAATTAAATTTTTTGTTTTTTTTAAGCTTTATGTCATTTTTCATTTTATGAACAGAAAATCAAGATAAAACCAGCAGCTAAACAAATGTCTCTACTATTCAAACCCAACAGCCACAAGCATTTATTACATATTGTCTGGTTACTTTTCATTGTGTTAAACCTTATTTAATAAACAATTTTTATTTGATAAAACAAATTGCAAAGTTGCCACATACATTTTCAAGAATTGAGCTCTTTGAGCTTGACCTAATTTACTCCACAGTTAAACAAGGTGAAATATTACGCTGTCTTTAAAATGATTGATTTGCTGTCCATATAACTGAAGACAACATCCTTACTCTTCAGTCGTCTCATCGATGTGAGCCGAAGCTGAATGAATGTGAGAGTGACTGACATCTAACACTTACTGTCTCTCAGGTGTGGATCGGCCTACGTTACCTGGCAGGGGAGTGGCGATGGATGAATGGAAATAAGCTGGACGACCAGGGGATGCTGCCGGAGTGTCCGTCCCAGTGGAAGAACTGTGGGACTCTGTCAAAACATGACACAAACAATTGGATCAACAGGGACTGCTCAGAGAGAAGAAACTTCATCTGCCAGAGGCGTAAAATGCCAATTGGAGAAGAGAAAAGAAATTGATGAAATGCATGAAAGTTTGAATTTTAAAACTCTGTTTTGATCTGTAGATTAACTGATTGAGCTTTTTCACTTATTTGGCCAAGTTTAAAACTCATACATTTCATAGTTCTGAATGGGTGTCTATCAGCTACTGTAAGTCCATATTGCCTCATGTTATTTTGAACATTACATTTTGCTTTGTTTTTTAGTTTTTCTTCAAAATCTGACTTAAATTTAGAGTCAAGAGCAAAGCCGTGTGTACTACACATACTGTAACAACCATTATGTACTATGAATGGATCTTTTACAAAACAGTTGAGTATGTATTGGGGACTGTCTGTTGTTCAACTGTGTTTTTACCTCAGACTGTTCATCATCAGAGTTCATTTCAATTCAGTTCCAAACACAATCTGAATGTGATGACTAAGTGGAAAGCAAATAAAGAAAATCCAACATTTAAAATCCTTGTCAATACTAATCACTATACATACAACATATATCACAAAACACACACACACAAAATGTCTTTATTAAGATATTCGACTGCTCTCACTGTGAATTACAATTTAAATAACTCTCCCTCATTTATTTAGACATATATGTTACAAAAACAAAATGGTGGACCACAAATCTGAAAGTAATCCAGCTCTATGAAAAGTGTATTAACTATCAAGACTTTTCCTGTGTCTATTAATGGTCCTGAATTACTTCTCTCTATCATAACTACCTGTTTCGGGATGTCAGTGCTTCCTGAATCAACCACGTGTGAAAATAAAGATGCTAACCAGACTCAATAAATTATTTAATTACAGATCATCTTGAAAACTCTCTTGAGGGAGGACATCATGCGGAACACTGTATTAGGTTCCTACCGGAGACGCTGTCGGAAGCGTTTGCGGGTGGAACCGTATGCACTTCCGTTTGTCATTCAACGATCCCGTAGTAAAACAGGCTTCTTCTTCTTCTCGGCTGTTCTGACTCAGTAAGTGTCGACATTTAAACCCGGTGATCAGCTTCTGTCGTGTGGATTACATGTGAACTAATGAAGCATCGTTTGTGACGAATCTGTAGCAAAGAGAGAGCCGGGGTGCGACGGTGTCTGTAGCGGCGTGTGCAGGGGGGGGGGGGACGGTTTGGCTAGCTGGTGCTCAGATTATTATTTATTACTTGGTGACATCACACTCTGTAAATGTCTCTGAACAATACTCTGGTCGAACATTTAACTCGTTCTGTCAATCACCCTGTTAGTAGCCGTGCAGCAGCCACATCAACATGCACAGGACGTAATGTAACACCAGCCATTACCAACAGTCTGAGGATGGGCAGCAGACATTCAGACATGAACGTGTAAACTCAGGGATGATATAAAACAACCAGCTCTTTATCTCAAGTGGTGCTGGAACTATTGATTAACAGTTGATTAGTTAGTAAAGTTTATTAATAGAGCACCTTGCTCTGAACCAAGTCTCAAAGTACTTCATTAGAATAACATTACACCAGAAAGTCGGAATACACAATACATATATGGCATACAAATAGACAACAGAAAGAAAGTATAGACATGGATTCAGTCATTACAGTGTCCTGGTGAAACAAAAGCAAATGTGAGTTTAAGGGTTTTCATTAGATACTGCAGAACATGAAGCTATAGGGAGAGGGTTATTTCAATGTATTTCCATCGCAATGTGTCACAGTCTCTTAGGATTTATGACATTGATTATTTATGTGTGTGTCAAAATAGCATCAAATAAATCTATGGTCTTTTTCTCTGTCTCTCTCTCCTCCTCTCTCTCTGCAGGGAGCAGAACTGTGTGACCACACATCATGACGCTGTTTCACTTTGGAAACTGCTTTGCTCTTGCTTACTTCCCTTACTTTATAACATACAAGTGCAGCGGCCTGTAAGTATCTGCATGAGTGTGGTGAAGGACAAATGACTATGACTGGTGGGAGGGAGGCACTTGAAGTAACATTTCATTTGATAAAGTAGAATTACATAGTTTGTTAATGTTATGTCATTGTTAACATGGTCCCTGGTCTGTTTTAATGTTTTAGCAACATATGCTCGGAGACTAATGTTACTAGCTGTTGATAATCTTCTTAGCTATGTCAGACATTTGGGAGGGGTCCACATAATCCTCTTAGACGTGTGTTCCTTAATTTGAGTGTACATTTGTTCAACAGCAACATTGTATCCTGCTCATTTCTGCCTAGATTATTTGACCTCACAATAACCTGTTAACATATTGCATTCTGCAGATCATCGTTTTACCATTTTAACTCTGGGTTTATGTGTCCAACCTTTAGTTCAGAGTACAATGCCTTCTGGAGATGTGTCCAGGCGGGTGCAACCTATCTGTTTGTCCAGCTCTGTAAGGTGAGGGAGCTCACGTGTGATTAAATGATTTGTCATTTATGCCTGGAATAAAATTAAGTGGGGGTTGCAGACAAAGAACAAATTGTAACGTTGTTAGCTCCTTAGTTCAAGCAGATTCTTTCCTTTTGTGCTTCAGATGCTGTTCTTAGCTACATTTTTCCCCACATGGGAAGGAGGAGCTGGAGTGTATGACTTTGTAGGGGTGAGTGTTGAACTGAACTTTTCTGTCAGATTTAAAAAAAAAACCATTTGTTTGTGAAGGAGGTTGAAATATGGTTGTACATGTCCTCCAGGAATTTATGAAGTCAACGGTGGACCTGGCAGATCTGTTGGGTCTCCATCTTGTCATGTCTCGTAATGCCGGTAAAGGGGAGTACAAGATCATGGTGGCTGCCATGGGCTGGGCAACCGCAGAACTCGTCATGTCCAGGTAAACAATTCCACAGGTTTTGCAGAAGAAAACATCAGCTTCATTTTATCAAGTTATTGTAAATATCTTAACATTGCATTCGTGTCCTGTTGGGGTGTTCAGGTGTCTTCCTCTGTGGGTGGGAGCCAGAGGGATTGAGTTTGACTGGAAATACATCCAGATGAGCTTTGACTCCAACATCAGTTTGGTAAGTAGCTGTTCTTCCTCTCTGTCTGCTCCTGTGTTTCCAGTCCTTGACTCTTATTTAATGGGTTTTCTCACCTACCTCCAATACATATACAGAAGTGTTTGTCATGATTGAAATTTGTTTTAAACAGTCCACAGAGTAGATCACAGTAATTGTCTGCATGTACAGATAAAGATGTATTTTAAATTGTTTCATTCTCAGTGCGTCCTCTTTTCTCGACATAGGTCTGTGATATTATGTTATGTTAAAAGAAAATCCTAACCAGTGATTGTTATGCCTGTATATAGGTCCACTACATTGCCATGGCAGCAGTGGTGTGGATGTTTACACGTTACGACCTTCCTAAGAGCTTCAGGCTTCCAGTCACTGTGCTGCTGGCTCTTTGTGTCTACAAGTCCTTCTTAATGGAGTAAGTTTCACACACACACCCGTAGACACACTGAGTACAGAACTCAAACTGTTTGTGTCTTCACTGATATGAAGAATGACTTCTGTTAATTACACTGTTTTCAGATGAAATCTCCAGAAAATGTCAGGCAAAAAGAGAAAATTGAGTCGGGACTTTTTCCCTAATTTGCTTTTCACATAAGAAACAATGCAGCAGGAGATTGTTTAGGTCAGATGTGTTCACAGCAACAGGAATATGTCTGGAACATTTATTCAAGGGCTCACTGGGTAGAGCATTCAGGACGCAGGACATGACATTTACATTCTTCTGTGGAGATCACAGGTTTTTGTTAACAGCATATCGACACCATCGTCAGCCCTTATCACCAAAAGCTATCGAATCTTGTTGTCATTCCAAGTTGATGTCTTCGTAAGTGTTGTCTACGTCAGTGGCACCTCTTTTCATCCTTACATCTGTGTTTTCTTCCAATTTTGCGTAGTCGCGTGTTTAGAATCATCATCAACATGTCCACTGGGTTACTGTGAATTTTTCCTGTTGTATTCTCGCCGGAGCTCACTCAGATATTGTCCTGACATTTTACCAAGGGACTGGCAGTCCCGGATAATGACTCAGATTTTTGCATTCTCACACACAGCCATCTGTGTGTGATCGGGTTTCGGTACATGTCTGAAAACAGCTTTCATGTAGTTTAGGGTTACTGCAAGACAGATTTTGTTACTGTTGAACAGATCCAGGTAAACCACTACCCATCCAGTTTTTATGCTAAGCTAACCAAGTCCTGGCTGCAGGGAGAATGATATCTATATTTTGATTAAAAACTATCCACAAGAAGCTATGTAAGTGTATTTCCCGATGTTAGTCGAATATGTTCTGACTACCTGCGCAGTAACTGCACTTAACTTTGTAACACACAAGATGGCACTAGTCAGCAACAACACAAACAGTAGCACAAGGTACATTAGATTTACAATAACGTTACTTACAGGAAAAAAAAAAAAATAACTGTAATTAACAACTGTACACTAGCTACTACATTCAGTCACACAATTCAGTATACTTAAAATCTATTTACCAAGCTCTTTTAAATTGTTTGTTTGGTCATGATGTATCATTAGCATAAACTATCCCAAGAAAACCACTAAAGGGTGTGGTGGTTTGCATAGAGAGCGAGAGGTCAACATGGATGGGTTTTTTTTGGTTGTTTTTGTTCTTTGTAATTGTAGCTTACATCATGTTTCTGTTTGTGTCTCCAGGTTGTTTGTCCATGTCTTCCTCTTGGGCAGTTGGACAGTGCTGCTGGTTAAAGCCGTGCTGACTGGTGCTATCTCTCTCTGCTCGCTGTTTCTTTTTGTCACTCTGGTCCACAGCAACTAAGTTAACAGCAGTAAAGAACATAAAGTGTTCCGATCTACAAAAACACAGGCTGACGTATGAGCCAACAAGTTTAACCAGTTAGATTTGATGAACCCGTCTGGTCTGATTATGGGAAACTTGAACTCAGTGTGCAGCTTTGTTTCATTTCTGGAGGCTTCTGATTGGCTGTGTTGTTTTGTGAAAGGGTGAATTTTGTATCTCAATGACCACAAATTAAAAGAGACTTTATAAATAACACTTTTCTTTTCTATTTGTTGCCTGATGAGCCAGTTTAAATCCTTAGATTAGATTAACTGAGGGGATTTCTAACATATGGACGACAGTAATAGCTCTTTGATAGTGGCCTCAAATGTATCAATTTATTTATATACAAATCAATGTACAAATAGTTATAATAAAACTAGACAGGGTGTTTTGATTATTGAAAACATTGTTTTAAATTGAAAGCTACTGCAGTGTGAATAAACCGAACTTTACACAGCATCATGGTATTATGTTGAGTTGTAAACATCTGTGATTTTGACATAAACGTCTTTCTCTTGTTTAAACTTGCTGTCAGTATCTTGATTGATCAGACTGTTCATTTTCTTCATGAAGCATCAGCCATATTTAAGAGAATGATTAGTTGTTTTGTTTTTTCACACATAAAGGTTCACGGTTCCTCCAAAGACAGTCTTTGTGCATGTGTGATGATTTTCAGTGGTGGTGAACTTTGCTGTCATGTATTCAGAGATTACACATTGATCTCACCCCATGTTTATCTTGGCGACTGAGTAAATTCCTGAATCGAGAGCCTCTCATGAATGTAGAGTGGGTAAACTCCTCTTTCTGCCTTTTATACAATGTTTCATCTATGAGCAAGGTTTGTCATCTCCACATGCTGAGATCTTAAACCATAGACTCTACATTCAATGAACAATGAATCACATCTGCGCTTGCTCCAACTATTTTATTCCAAAGATTTTAGACCAAAATATCCCGCATATGAAAGCAGCCATTTGCACATTTGGAGCTAGAATTTGCACAAAAGGGTTTGAGGGATGGACTTTACCAGAAAAATCAACACTTGAACAAACTACAGTGTGATAAGAACTAAGCAAAACTGCCAGAAACCATCCTTGAGAAAAGTTTATTGATTTTTTAATTTCTTCCATGTCCCAGCCCCCAGATAGCAATTACGTCCATCTTTATATAGAATATAGCTGTGTCTCAACTCAGGGGCTGCATTTGAATAGTGATTATGTGACTAGACTATCCCATTTCAAAGGATCTTTCAAATGAGTCCTTCCATCCCAGAGAAACAACCGGGTGAATCCTTTCCAGCCCAAACTATCCCAGGATTCATTGTGCTGCAGTGAAAACACATTTTTTCAAAGAGGTAACAGCGATGGTGAGCGACGAAATATCCAATGCTCGAGTATTACACTCCAACCAAACAGTTAATGGTACACATGTTAAAAAACTTTCTGTCCTGTCCAACTGCAGCTCTGTTCATAGGCAACAGCAAAAAGTATGGTACGAGCTATTGACACTGATCCCGGAAAGCGTCTGTAGATCAGACCATCTTATTTCAGTTTTGCAGTCCTCTTGAGTAGGGTAGACCACGTCCTCTGAAGGATGCTGCCTCTGAACTGAGACACAGCTTCTGTTTAAAACCATTAGTACTGATTGCCAGGCATCGAGTGTAACCATCCCTCTCCTGTCCCTAAAATCAACCTTGATACCTCCTATATGATGAACCTATGAGATGTGTAACCTTAATGTGTTAAAGGTTTAAGCAATTTGAATGTTTGACGTCCAAAAACAGTGTGGCTCACTGCAGCAGCTTAGTTTGTTTTGCCATTTCCAGACCAAGAGCCAAAAGTTCAAACTGTTCCCACACTTGTACTGTTACACTTTACAGCCAGAGTCAATAGAGCCATGAGGACCGAGAGAGAGCTTGTTGAATATCCCTTTTATTCCCTCCTGAGGGAGGGAGTGCCTGAAATCTAATCCTCAACATATTGGGTTAGCCCAGAAATCTTGAATACAAATTCAAGTCTGGAGGCTTTGCACTATATGATTCGTGATGGGACCATGTTTATAAAGGTAAATGCTTCATGCTTTAATCACAGAGTTAGGGCCAGTGTTTAGTTAGCTTTAGTTTGTTCACAATCATAATTGTCAAATGATGAAGATATCTTCAAACAGATCAGATGAGGCATAACTGGTTAACAAGGAAACAGACAGTGGGTGATGCTGTTGTTATTTAGATTGCATCACAGTTTCCGTCATTATAAAGGAACCCTAAATAAAACAGAAAACAAAAGTAAGGTTCCTTAAACTATTAGTACACTTCGAGTGAATTTGACCATCCCCTCTGCCCATTTAAAAACACACTTACCCTGTTAATCCACTTACATTTCTCTGCCAACCTTCTTTCTGCCTGGGTTTCTTTCTGATTCTTCTCCTTCCTCCTCTCTCAGCTGGGCCCTGCAGAGTCCAAGAAAGCTCTCATTATTGAAACACCACAATGGGTTTGGCTGTTACCTAACAATACTCTCTCTGTTGATACACTGCTGTTGTTTGTGTGTGGCTGCAGAAAAAATAATCATACTCATTAAGCAAGGATGGAGGTTACACACTGACCTTGTGGATTCCATGGAGAATTAGAGCAGTGTGACTCCAGTTAATAATCCTTCCTCTGGCCCTCGATGTTGGTTCATTTTAAAACATCCCAACGATGGATGTTAGGACAGCAAAAAATTAAGATATGATAAGCCGGCTGGCTCCAAGATATACAACAGAGTACAATAGAATAAAACAGTACAGTATTAAGTATAAAAAACATGAGTGAAAATAAAAAGATTGAAGCCAAACCTGTGCCTAATAGAAATGAAATATCAGAATCAGAAATACTTTATTAATCCCTGGAGGGAAATTCCAAAAGTCACAGAGCTCCTGAGCAAGCGATGAAAAGGCAGGTATAGCAGTAAGAGTAAGGGCTAAGCAAAAAAAGCAGCGTAATCAAAATTAAACAAGAAGACAAAAGTAAAAGATGAGCATAAGTAGAAATAAATCTGCAATATAGATTAACATGATATGTAAGTTAAGTATACACATTATACATGTTTAAGCTTATTTACAAGCTGTCATTATACAGTTTGACAGCAACAGGCAGGAATGATATCCTGTGTCATTCTGTCGAGCAGCGTGGGTGGATGAGTCTGTCACTGAACGAGCTGCATAAGCTAATCAAGACATTATGGAGAGGGTATCAAGGAAAGTCCAATATTGTCCTTAAAAAAACAAAATTCTCCTCTCCACACACACTTTAGCATACAAAAGGTATATTTCTTTGTTGTCCCTGGTGGGGCAGTCAACGTACTGGTGAAAGGTGGGAAGTACCGAGTTCAGGTTGGTATGGTTAAAGTCCCCAGTGATAGTAATAAAAGCGGTGGGATGCTGTGTCTGTAGTCTGGACACAGCAGAGTGGACAAATCTACTGCTGCCGCTGCATCAGCTGAGGGAGGGATGTAGACAGTCACAGCAATAACGGAGGAGTATTACCTGGGGAGATAATATGGGACGCATTCCCACAGCCAAAAGTTTGATATCCGGTTTACACAAATTAAAAAATTTAGATTTTACTTCTTGATTCTTGTTCTGATTTCTAAAAGTCAGATAATTGCTGCTGTAACAAGAAGAGCTGCTTAAACAATTTCCACTGTTTTAATGTTGGTGACAATGTTGAACATTGACAATAAAGGATTCTGATTCTGATATTGCACATTGTGTTGTTGTTTTTATATCCATGCCAGGAATCAGTGCAACTTCATGTGTCAAGACACAGATGCAGAAAGTTTTCCGGCACCACCTCAGTCATATGTTGGACACTCACAGTCATAAAAAGGAGATTCATGAGGTTCCCAAAAAAGAGGAAGAGCATTTTAAAGATCTTACACCTCCATGTTTGGTGTGGTTCACATGACATGAATATTGCATACAACCATAGCAACCTGGAAAAAATTAGGGCTTGTTTAAGCCATTTGCATCAGCAGCCCTCTGCAGGTTCCATAATTGGAAAGAGCTGATGATTTGCAGCAGAAGGTTGCTATTCAATAGAATGTACAAGAAAACAAGGAAGGCAATTCAGCCCTTCCCCAGCTGGATGGGCAAATCGCAAGGAGCTCAGGTGACAGGGATTGTGTGCAACAGGATAAAGAAACTCACAAGTAGCTCAGGATAAGAGATTGAAGTGTACACCAGCATCGAGCTGCACTCGCCATGTCCTGCGACCCAGATTACATTCGGTACCACGACCTGCTCATGCCTCCCGAGGCGCACAGCCAGGAGAGCCTGGAGTACGCGCAGCACTTCTCTGTGGAGGACACTGATGTGTTTGCTGTGACTTACCCCAAATCAGGTAGAGTGCATTTCATATAAGTCTCTTTTTAGCACCACCACTTTTCTACAGGGAATGTATTGAAGGTAAGTTTCCAACTTTGTGCAAAAGTTTGTTTTTTACTCACAAAGCATGTTTCTTTTCACCACAATGCAAATATTGGTGGATAATATTTACAGTTTTTTACAACCGCTATGACCTGTTTGTCAGAGCCTTAAACACTTTTACAAAACTGTTAACGCACATCACACCTGAAACACACAATTCCTCAAACAGTTAATTTCATGCTCAAAATCACGCAGTGTAACTAAACACAGACACACACTTCCGAAATACAATAAAACACTAACACAATTCACCAAATCTACCAAAGCACTGACACAGGTTGTCTTCCAACAGAAACATTGAGTCAGTCACAGCACAGTGTCATAAAAAACACTGACAACTGATGGAATAACACAAACTGAATCACTTTGCATGTGTCAAATCTACTTTTTTCCTTTTTCTTTTACAATCAACAGATTATTGTATTGATCATACATGTAAATTAATGTTTGTCATGATGTTCTTCATTTTTCATTTGTTGGGCATGAATTTTGTTCCTTTTTTGTTCCAGTACAAAAAGTGAACGACCCATGTCAGAGCAGCTTTGCAGAATGTGTATGAAAGAAGAAGACAGTAAATGACAGGATTTGCAGTAAACACTTTACTGTATTGCAAATGAAAATGACTTACATTAGAGTAAAGAGGGAAAAAAATCATTCATTACTGTATTGTCAAATACACAAAAAGAAAAAGGAGCAGAAGAAGTCACTGTAAAAGAGGAAGACAAAAAAGCTAATCTGCTCGTTCGTCAGCATTGGGCCACATATTTTCATCGACATCACACCTGATGTCTTCTCTGGCCAGGCGTCATGGGGAGTATCTTTTTGCATGCCTTATCCAGCCCTGGCGGTTGTCAGCTGTGATGTCCTGGCATGCAGTAGGAAAGGCCCTACAATACAGTGAATACTGTAATCTACCTGTTGGTTGTTCGAAAAATTCGGACAATGGATGCCACTGTGCTCCGGCTGAGATTTGGCTGCACACGTTCTCCAGCCTCTCTATGTGACAACCCATGGTTGATGACATGGTCGATGATGGTAGCTCGTATTTCATCTGTCACCCTAGCTCTGGCACTTCTCTGAACCCCACCATGCATTCTAACTCTCCCTCTCCCTCTAGGCATTTTTCTCACTTGTTTTTTGCAAGTCCTCCACCTTATCTCTTGTCTTATCTTTTGTTCTTTTCGCTCACAAGATACCTATAAATAGGTGATGTGATTGGTGATGTGAAAAAGCCCAGCACCTGAGCTGGGTGAGACGGGAATCAGCTGTGATCAATGTAGTCTTCAATCCATTCGTTTTGAACATGAGGTTTTGTGTTTTGACAAACCCTGTGAAAGCAATTGAGAATTCACCAGTTAACATCTACTGTTTTGGTCTTGTTTGAGCTTGTGTGTAAAGAGAGATAGATTTAAACTCCTTCTAAACGTGTAAAATGTGTGTGTTTTGTGTCAAAAGAAGAAGAATTGGGTTAATTGTAGAGCCCACACAGGCTGATGTTGTGGTAACTGTGTGAAGAGTTTTGAAAAAGCGTTAAAAGTATTGAACAACGGGTCATAGCGGTTGTAAAAAACTGTAAGCCTGAGTAAACTACCGCACCGAGAGATGTCAGAGTGACACGCATGCGTAGGAAACAATCTCTAGTTTCACCAGATGGAAAAAACCATGTCTGTCCGACTGCGTTCGTGGCGAGGAGAAGTGTTTCAACACAAAACAAGTGGCTGAGAAAGCGAGCTTGAGTCCCATTCGTCGATTTTGTCCACGTTTTCGCGATATTTGATTCTTAGAGAAGTCATAGCACAGCATCCGACAGCTCTGCCCCCAGCTGGCGAGGCACCCACAGTGACACCGAGCTGTGTGCGCGCTGCAGCTGTCGGCTCAGAGAGACGAGTGCGCAAGGACCGTCCAACAAGCGCTTTACCGTGACTTTACCTTCAACCTCGCACCACCATGTCCTCTGAAGACATGTATTTGGATTATCGCGGACACACACTTCCCACGGAGACTCACAGCGCACAGAGCTTGGCGTTTGCGGAGGAATTCAAGTTTGAAGACGATGACGTCGTGGCTGTAACGTACCCGAAGTCAGGTCGGTTTTGCAAAAGCAAAAAAAAAAAAGTTGCAAAAGAGATTTTCTGTCAACAGACTGGTCTGTATATTGGTCTGTGTTTTCTGATTTCTATTTCAAAACAGGAGCCCGAGTCCTGACGAACTTTCTGCTGATGCGTTGGTTCCTGATGTTTCTGTTCTGTAGCTTTACTCGAGACTGTCATTTCAATGCAAGCAAACTAATTTCAGATTTAACACTTATACAAAGTGGTGACACATTAGGAAGGTAAACTCCTGTAAATGAAAATCAGGATGACGATGGTCCCATCTAAAGGACACTGCTCAATGCTCCCATCTAAAGGACACAAGACTTCACTGAATGGTTTGCTTCGATAGGAAGTTATGTGAATTATAGGACATGCACCAGGGGTTAAACTGAAATCAGAGTACTGAAAAAAGAACATTTACATTTGGGCCAAAACAATTTTTCCATGTGTGCAACCAAATCGATGATGTACGGGCGAATTTAGACAGACTTGTGGAATTCATCATCCAGTGAGAGAACATCTCTGAGGAGTGGTGGCTGGTGTTCTGGAGGCTTGTGGTGGCCCACTTCATGTCAGTGCCACACATCTGTATGTTTGGTTCACCGTCCACTGGGGTGGTCTTTGGAGTCAAGCACCCAAGATCATAACAATGTTTGTTGGCCTCTCTTCAAAATATGAGAAATTCTTTACCGAATATATAATTAACTCATGGACACTTGTCTGGGCAGTTGTTGTTTGTAGCAATCGAGTATTTGTGAAAGATTTTGACCTGTCAGTGTTTAAATGGTTTGAATATTGATTCCAACCTTTGTACATGTTCACCTAAAATAATGTCAGAAAAAATGTTTAAAGTAAAATACATGCATCATCTTCCAACATATGGACTAAGATCATAAAATCTTAACATTATGAATCTTCAGTTTATGGTTCTGTTACTAGGTGTTGTCAGGAGCTATTTTGAACATGTAGGAGGAATCTAGAAGGAGACTAGAAGGAGACTAGATTTTTTTTTAATTCACTCTTCTGTATTGTTCTGTAGGTACAGTCTGGATGCAGGAGATCCTGCCACTGGTGCTGAACGGTGGCGACCTGACGCCAATCCAAACCATTCCAAACTGGGACAGGGTGCCTTGGCTGGAGGAGAAAAGATTGTCCATTGTTGTGGATAAGTTGATATCTCCACGAGCACTAGTCACCCATTTTCCTTATCACCTCATGCCCGCATCCTTCCACACCTCCAAAGCCAAGGTAAATGTGTGAAGGCTTAGTGAAATATTCCCCTATGTACTTCTCTTTATCCGATCCTGTATTAAACCTCTATAGAAAACTAGAGCTAAAAATTTCCCCCTTCTGTTGTTTGCATTCCGTGACTTGTTTTTCTGCCATAGGTGATCTATGTTATCAGGAACCCAAAGGATGTCTTGGTGTCTTCATACTACTTCCACCAGATGGCCGGATTTCTCGAGGATCCGGGAACTTTGGATGAGTTCATAGAGAAATTCCTGGATGGCAGAGGTCAGGGGTCCCCTCATAAAAAGTTTATCTGGAGATGTGTATGATTATCAGGGGAATTGAATTCAGCATGTCACCACGTGAGCAAAATTTGGATGTTGCAAATGAAGCACCTTGAAAGAATGTGAAAGACAAAGTCACCATTGTCATTTCTTGCAGAGCAGTGGTTGATTACATTAAATGTGTACTGTACAACCCTCAGTGATGTTTGGCAAATGGACAGACCACGTGAAGAGCTGGAGACACACAGAGCTGGGAGACAGAATCATGTACATCTCATATGAAGAAATGGTTCAGGTAAAACTCTCACAAGCGAATGATGGTTTTTTAGATCTGACCAAAAGAGGTGTTCTCAAAAAGTAGAACCATTGTTCGGCTCATTTCATTTCTGTTATGAAAGCACTTTCTGGATGGTTCACACTTTCTGACCATTTACAATAAGTTGGGGCAGAGTCATCAATCTTTAACTACAAGTTGTGTCACACGTGGGGAGAGGTGAAGATTTAATATATAATGGTCATTTGGCTCGATTAAAAAGCCATCATAATGACAGTATAGTCGCAACAAAATAAATATGTTTATAATTTTTTCTCCATTCAAACAGAAAAGAGACCATCAGATGGCTTTGGTGAACTTTAATCACTGAAATCATCCAGAAAGATTAGAGGATTTCTATTTTAAGATGAAAACAAGTGTCCATGTGCTTTTCTTCCAGGACCTGCCTGCAGCTCTCAAGCGTATTTCTGGTTTCGTGGGCAAGAACCTGAGTGAAGACATCATTCAGAAGATCGCAGAGAATTGCACCTTTGAGAGCATGAAGGCCAACAACATGTCCAACTTCAGCCTGATCCCAAAGCAATACATGGACAATGAAAAATCTCCATTCTTCAGGAAAGGTGAGGCTCCATGTGTCATTCAAACAGCTTGAGGTGTTCTGTCGGCAATTTGTCTACTTCTTTATTCTGAGTTTATCCTACAAAGAGGATTTTCAGTCTCCATAAAACTGTTTCTCACCAGAGAACTGTTGTGTTAATGTGTTTGTCTTGGTGTGTGTGTGATCTCATGTCAGGTGTTGCTGGAGACTGGAAAAAACATCTCAGCACAGAGCAGCTGGCCCGGATCACATCAGTCATTTGCAAAGAGATGGAGGGTGAGAGCTTCTCTCTGCCGTGGAGTCTGGACTGACCCACAGCCAGAGGGAGAAGGAGGCATGTTCAGTACATATTTGTCAGAGTAGGAAACTGGTGCTAATTGGGCCCAATGTCAGGTAGACAAGTAAAAAGTAATTTACTGATGTTTTTACTCAAGTCATCATAAAACTTCTCAAACGGGATATAGAAGAGCTGCAGAGCCTGTTATCTGGACAAATCTCCGCCTCAAATATATAATGTCAAAAGTTTTTTGTTTTTTTTACGAAACATATGATTTTCCAGGTTGACTGGATTTTTTTTTTTGCTTGCCCTGGGTGTGAATTTGTATATGTATGTGTATATGTTAAACTGTCAAAATTCTGCTTCAACAGTGGTCATTTGCGTTCTCCCATCTGCAAATTAGCTTGTTAATAAACTATTTTGTTATTTTCTTGCTACTTTATGTGGTCAAAACTAACAACACTACTATTATTGACATCTTGCTAGCTTGCTTACTGAATTTGTATTATTTAGATTTAGATCGGGTTGCCAAAAAAACAACATTCCTCTGGAGATGCAGATTTGCAGCCACAACTGCAGTTGCATTTACAAAAGAGCAGTTGTGGACGACAGCGGGTGCATTGTACGCGACCTCGTAAGCAACAACATGCAGCAACACATGAGGAGCAGACAGTTCACTACAGGATGAGTCTCACAGGGACAAATAAAAACAGCTCACACTGCCATCTGCAGATTATCCAAATGAAGTAGGATATTGTTTCCGGGAAAGATAAACGTGTTTCAAAAAACCTGAGCAGAAAGCCCCCTATAGTAGTGAGTAACGGTGTACCTCCTAATTATAGAGAGTCATGAAATGCATGCATTAAACTGTGAGTTTTGTTTTCACCCCTGTCTGTAAGGACAATTAAAGTGAAAAGATTTCCACGAAATATGGTGGAAGGAAGTGGTGTGTGTCATTGAAAAGCCTTTAAGTTTTCTGTAGATCCATTGTGAGATGCCGCTATTTATTGACATTTTCTCTGATTTCCTATAGGGAATTATTAGATCTTGACAAAAACAAGTCAGGCACATATGGACTTTATATATATTGTAGAGATTGTTTTAATTTTGGTGCATTTTAACTGAAATCAGTGGGAGTGTTGGGCTTTGGAAGTACCAGGTGTCATTCTATTTAGGTACTGTTATTAAAGGATGATCCAAAATTAGACATCCAAATCTTAAATGTTAAGAAAGTTCAATGTTCCATGGCACAATATATTTAGTATGAAGCAATGCCCAACATAATACTGTGGTTCAGTCTCACTCCCATCATCACCCCTCATATTTACACATGAGGTATTTATCTTCAGCCGACAAGCTCTGGCAAGTCAAGTACACGCCTGTGTCTGCCATGAAACAGCAAAGAAACAATGTAATCAATCTTGAATGCTGATATGTAGCCTAAAGTTATACATTTCTTAACATTCAAATCCAGACAACTTTACTGATCCCAAGGAGGGAAATTCACTGCAGCTTATCCTGTTCACGGTCACACAAACTATACATCCAATATGATAAGTGCCAAAAAGCACAGGTCAACAAACGAACAGAGGTCAGTCAAGACAGAGGTTGATCAAGATAAAATTAAGATTGAAAATAAGGCACGCTTGAGGTGAAGATGTTTTCCTGATGTCTCACATTTTATGGTTTTCATGACAAGTGAACAGAAATAAGTTTTTACAACAAATAAGAGCAGTGTTGAATGGAAGACAAGAGAAGCACATAAACAGTAAACTTGCACAGTCATGTTTATTTTATATTTCTAAAACTCACATTTTAAAACAATAGGTTTTAGTGTTCCTTGTCCTAAAGCCCTATTTTTACCACCTGACTATGGTTCTGGCCTCCCTGCACAGTGACAATGCAACAGAGAAAAGAAGGAAAAAGTAATTGAAGGAAAACATACCTGAAGACTGAGGGCAAATGTGTGCAAACATGTTTTTCCCTCCATCCACATTGCTATGAAGGGAGAGGTTGAAGGGTTTGAGCTCTCATGTGATTGGAGGCACATACACACAAACACATATGCACGAATCCAGACAGTTGGCATCTGTGTACAAGTGAACAGAAAACACCCTTTCACCGGTAGCAAAGCCAAGTAAACAATGAAGAAGCTCACTTCTGAAATGGATTTGATTCAACCATTAGATGGCAGTCAATCATCAGTAGTTCACATTCTGCAGACCCGGTTCATGCTCAGTATCGCCAATACAAATACAGTCAGTCAGCCAAAGAGATGAGCATGAAGACACGCTACACACTGACTCAGATAGACACACTCAAATGTGATCATTACAATAGTGAATAATATAATGAGAATTTCTGGCACACTTACATCTGCACTGCAAACAGACATCTTGTTACAAATCGAAAGGAAAATCCTGGAAGTTCTTGTATACAAGTTGTGATATTAGACTTACAGGTGATGCAGAAGATTTTTAAATTTGACAATGGCTGCATCTACCAAAATAAGTCAAATTCATATTTGAGCATGCAAATCTGAATTTGACAAATAAGCTATATTTTCATTTTTCAACATAACAATGAATATTTAGATTTCAAAGATTTTATGAAATCCCTAGGAATCATGATACCATCGCACTGCAATTCTGACAAACTCTAAATGTGTCTATAATTTCATCAGCGACTAATCTGAGTAGCAAATGGTCAAGCCAAATAAAGAGAGTAAGTTTTACAGACTGACTTCTCAGACCATTGCTGTTTTTAAGTTTCTTTTCTTTTCGGTTTTATCTTTTCGGGGAAAGAAAAAAATAAGTATTTCACTGGGTGAACAAATAGTAAATATCTATAAAACATTTTAATGAACTTCACCAATGACCTCTTTAAAACATACACATTTGAACAATGTAGAGATTTGGTTGACCAACCAGTTTCAAGCAAGACTAAGTATTTACATCCCTCATATAAATCATAAACAGATTCAACACAAAGTGTAAAATCTACTTTTATATCTAATTCTAACAACATATTGATTTCTTCACATGATCATTTCCTCACACACACCCTTTTGTTACCTAACTGGCCCAAAGCCTAACTGGGTAAACCTAAATAATTCTATTAATATAATAATGATTATTTATAACATGTTGTGTTTAAACATAAAGAGTTTCTTCTTTTCTGTTGGCATAAAATATCAGACCGGGTTGAACTGAGTCTAAGATTATTTACACAATCAGGAGATTTACAAACGACACAACCGCTACAGTGATTCATCATCACAGTTAAATATCCTAACCTGATTTTAACCTTGGAGGTCTAAGTAAAATATACTTGTGTCACATATGTTGCATTTAAAGGTGTTTGCGTCTCCTAAACTGATTTTAACGTATGATTTCACTTTAATATTCATGTGTTTATGATATATTGTATGGTATCCTTGGTGCCTAAAGGTGCTCGGAATTAAAATTCAATATCATCATTATTTATCGGAGTGAACCCTTCATTGTTTTCAGTTGATCAGCTCTATCAGCAGCAACCAATAATTAGGATAGATTTAATTTAAGGACAATGAGAAAGGAATTTACGCTTAATTTAAATTGTAGATTTGTGTGAGCTCAACACAGTCATTGTGCCTTGTCCTCACACTCTTGATGACATCACAGAAAATATCAACATATTTCACTATTCATTCACTAAACTAAAGTACTTTTTATGCACACTCCTTAATCACGTATGTCTATCCTTAATTTGTGTTGCTATAAATAGTTTTAATGAGAGTTTTAAAAGAGCTTGAAATTTAATTTGATATTGGTTCTGGTCGTGGGCTCCTTTTGATTGTGTTTGAGTGTCCCTCCCATGACTCCATCCCCTGAGTTCTGACACCACATCAATTACATAGTGGCCTTTTGTGCCCGGGGGAGGGTTTGGGTGTGTGTGTGTGTATCTGTGTGGGCAGACGATGTGGTGCCTGCTCCAGGACACCCACTTCGTTGCCGCCTTGTGCCCACTGGTCCTGCCCTGGGCTGCCCACAGGATGCTGGCCTGCTTTGATGCCCTCTTCTCATCAACAGACCGTAGACACACTCTTAGATAGCCAATAACTCCTCAGAAGATCCCTTAATCTTTTCAAAGTTTGTTGCATCCAGTCAGTAAAGTCTTCTCAAGTCTGTTGACTATCTCTGCCCAGAGCGATGTCCACATTTATCGGATGAAGCTTGATCAGTTGCAATGTTTGGAATCGGCTGTTTAGGTCCAAGCAGGGAGGGAGGAGGATATCTGACATCACCACATTAATCTTGATCTCAGCCTGGGATGTCAAGTGTGTTCCGCTCAGTGGTCTGTCCACTAACCCGAGAAAATTGTTGTGAGACCGTTTTTTTTGACAGTTAAACCTCCAGTTATCAACCAAACATACACATGTGCACATAGAAGGTTCCCAGTAGTTATAAAACTATTAAAAATACATCTAAACTGTTGCTTCTCAAATGAACCCACACTATCTCAGCTACACATTGGTAGTTACAGTTTTGTAGCTGTACAGCAGCTGTAAAAAGCTTATGAAATTACATTTAATTCATATTTTGCACACTCATTGATATCGGTCACCTAAGTACAAAAATGTTTTCATCAAGATCCATTTTTTATTTTAAGGGGAGTTGTTGAACCATCTGACAATTTTTAATAAGGCTCGTCTAGAAATCTGTTCAGTAGTCTTTGGGTAATTGTGCTGACAAATCAACCAACCAACCAACCAAAGGGTGAAAACGTAACCTTGTTGATGGAGTTAATGACCACATCCTTAGGAATAGGAATGCATGTCCTAGCTGACTCTAGGTTGCTTTGTGGTCCACATATTGTTTCTGTCTTCCTCCTAGTTTAAAGAAATTATTGCATATCATGAGGAATGCGGTTATATGTTTTCTTGCAAAAGAAAGAAACAATGCCATATGCAGCCAGCACACACACTCAGAACAGGGAAAGACAACTTGGTTGTGTTTCTTGGCAGCGATGTTCCGAGCAAAGTATCTGCTCAGCCCATCACCCCTTGTGACACTGTGTAATATATCTGGTATCAATCACCACATCCAACTCAAAAGAGTTATTATTTCATCCATTATGTTCCTGTGTCATTCACATAGTTAAATTGTCCATGGTTTGATGTTCTTGTTTATACATAGCTGGCCCTCCCCAGGGTCATATAGCCAGCTGTAGACATCTGCAGATAGAGCAGTGATAACATACAGTGCAACATCTAAACATCCCTTTCTTCCTCTCTGTAAGACACAGGAAAGTCGTCAGGAGCCTTGATGCACTTGATCACCCTTGTATACCCTTGTGTTATTAACAGTATTTGGCATAAGAGTGTCTGTCTCTCCACATCATTTCTCTTTTAATATTGTGATTTTATTTTGAAGAAAGCATGTGCAACTTTATGTTT